CCCCCTTTCTAGCCCCCTCTCTCTTTCTTCCTGTCTCTTCACTAGCCTGGCTGGGCTCTCACACCCAGCACAACTACCTTGACTTGGAAGTTTAAAAGAGTACTAAAAATACGTGTGTGTAAAAACGCAGCATTGAGAGCAACGTGCTGCCGGTATGTTTTGGTGGATATGGATGTGGACAGATACAGTTACAGTCTTCATTGGGGTGTATAGGAAACAAATGTTTATATTGTATATTTAGAATTAAAAAAATGGAAATAAAAATAAACAAATTAACTGCTTGTATTGTGAAAACAAAAGAGATAATGACTCAGTTTCTAACATTAATGTTTAAAAGAATAAAATACACATGCACATCTGTGCGCACATACACAGACACACAGGCCCATGTGCAGAGTATGACGCCCTGCAGTGTTTTCCACGGGGTTTGCTTACCGCTCGCTGGTGCTTCCTGCTCCTCCACTACATCCACTAAAGTCCCTTTCTTTTATTGGCTCTGATCGGGTCTCCGTATCCATCGGGTCATGCTATTGGTCAGTTTGTTGCATACCTTTTTAATGACGAAGAACAAGCAATTTCCGGTGTGTCAGGCGGCTTGTGACCTGTGTGTCAGCAGTGAAGAGGGCTCTCAGCAGCCTTGTTCACCATTTTCTTAAGAAAGCACCTGTGGGGGAATCGGGAGTCAGGCGCTGCGCCTGGTGTGAAACTCGCTTCTTCTCCAAAAGTCCACCTTTTTAGGGAAAAACCTCCAAAGCCTTGCTGCTGCCAGATAGCATGCTGCAGTCAGTTTCTTTGCCAAGAGCAGAGCTGTGTATTGATTGGTTAGATTTTTTTTATAATTTTTTTTTTTTCCTGTTAACCTCATTGGTTGGAAACAGCAGCCAGGAAAGAGGGGAACACTTTGGAGGCAGTAATTTACTGTGGTGAAACCTAACAAAGTAATATCTTTGGTCTAACACTGTGCCATGACCAGAGCTGCCAAGTCCCCACCACACATCCTTTCAGTCGCCTTCACAAAATGCACGTTTTTGTTTTTTGTTTTGTTTTTATTGAATGTCTTAGCGTTGGGCTGGAGCAGATGGTGAGTTCTGATTGGTTGAACACCCCTGGGACCTGGAACCAGGGGAGATGGGTGTCTCCTTTGTACAGTGTATTTGTCAGTATTCATGTTATGCCCCCTTCCCACCCTCCCCCCGGTTGACCATTGCCATTGCAGTCCATATATAACCTGTGTTAAAAATGTATAGATTGTGAAACTTGTTACTGAATGTTTGAAAGATTTAAAAAAAAAAAGAGAGAGATTATTCCTAAAATGAGAGAAAGAAAAGAAAGTGAAATAAAATGTATAAAAGAGCCTTGGCAGTATGAAAAGATGACTTTAGGTGCAAATGTAATATTTTGTTTGTAATTACTTCTTGTGATGGCGGAGGGATACTGGACAAAATCAGCTGTAATAAAAGTAATTTTAGTACATCAGGAGTCCAGCCTGTTCTGTCCCTGTGGGAAGCCAGTGACTCCACCTCAGTTAGGCTGAGATTTATTACTTGTTAATTGTTTTGCTTTTTTGGCTTCGTACATCAACTTTGGATGATGCAAACAGACAAAAGTCCATGGTTTCCTGCACAGTTTGCTTAACCTTGTTAATGAATGATGTCTCTGTTCACTCAAGCTATGTATACAAGCCAAGAGAGCGGATTCAAGCGGATAGTTTGGAATAAGTTTTTCCACAATCGTCAGTACTGCTGCAGAGAGTTAAGGGCACCTTATGGGCGCTCCTCTTGAGTTTCAGGGTATCAGCCGGTCAGCTTGGTCCTCTTTTGCTTTATAGTAAATTCACCATATAAAATTTTTGGCTATTTTATTTATTTATTTATTTACAGTGTGGAACAAAACTCATGTGCCCAAAAGCAGGCATTGGAAATTGAAAGCAGTGTTATAGGTTAGGGTTAGATCAGCTGCTGGGTGGTAAGTAATTAAGGCCATGCCAGGGAGGGCACTTTGAGCTAGGATAGAATTTGTAAATTATTATTTAAATTAAAGGGACCTGGATTTAACTTTAACGATGAGTTCTTGCTGTGTGCTGATGGGTCAGTCTCCTATCATGTATGTATCATTTGAAACAGCTGGACGAGTCCTTCAATCAAGAAAAACAAGTCAAAGCAGAAGCAGAGAAGTCTTTCAGTTTTAAAGTAGCTTGTAAAACCTGCAGTAGCTCAAGAAGGTATTAGTAAGGAGAGATGATATGAGAATACTCACAGCTTAACTGTTGCTGCTACCCTAAATCCTTCATAGTCTGTTATGTATAATCTAAGAAGCTCTAGCGCTAGCTTGGTGGTATGGAGAGAACCGCCTGGTGACTGCCCCCCCCCCACAGTCACTCTGCCATGCCCTCCCCCCTTGAGTGATCTTTGAGGTTTTCCTTCACACACTTGGCTGGTTCTGTGGGCCCAAACTTCCCCTGGTCTCTCTTCTTCCATCTGCTCTCTCGCTGCTGGCCCTCAACGGGTGTAAGATCTGTGCCAAGTGAACAGGTCCCGCTTCTCTGCAGAGCCGATCTGATCCCCCATCCTTCTGGCACCCCCTGTAGGTGTCTGTGCATGAGGCCAATTGGGGGTGTTGTCCCACCTCAGCTGGGAGGCTCGTGGTCTACGGTTCACCATGGTGTTGGTCCTGTGCCGAAGACCTGGGCTGGTTCCCGTTGGCATCCCACATGTCTCCTCTGCCCCTAGGAACTCCGCCACTATGGCAAAATAATCCAGTACCATCTCATGGCTCCACCAGGTGTCACTACCACCTTCAGTCCCAGGCAGCTGAAATCCACAATGGCCACCGGTAGCAGTCAGAGCCAGCAGGAAGTACGGACTGCTGCGGAAAAGGGCCGTGGGCAGGGCTGCAACAGGGGGCAGCAGTGGGTCGTCGTGGCTGCGCAGGCAGAGCACAGGCACTGCCACCTCATCTGCATCACGCAGGGGCTCATTCCGATCCCAGTACACTTCCCAGTCCTCCCCGCCTTTGCTGCCACCAGCCTTTCCGGAACAGAACATGAGCTCTTCCATGTGGCGCAGAGAGGAGGAGCCCAGCACCTGGTCCACGTCCATCACTGCACTGAGTGCGCTCTCGTACCTGCCCGAGAGAACGCAGGAGATTGCAAAAAGAGACAGGCAAGGCAGCATCAGGATCAAGTGACCAGTCACAGCGATGGCGGCGATTACTAGTCACAGGTAAATGAAGCTTCATGAACCATTTGCTATATTTTTTGACCCCATCAGATGGTGCTCTTGGTGTGCTTTGGGGCATGCTTTGCACCCTTTTATGGACAGAGAGCACCATCTAGTGGGGTCAGAAAATACAGCAAGTGGTTCATGAAGCTTCATTTGCCCATCACTAGTGAGTACCTGCTCAGCTGAAGTTTGCGGTACAGCAGCACCCCCCAGTGGTAGAGTGAAGGAAGGGCCGTCTCGAACCACAGCCTTCCCTGGAGGATGGGGGACAGGCAGGCTGCTGCTGTCAGGTAGGAGGAGGAGCCACACTCTCCAAGGTAGGAGAGGAGCACACCGGAACCAGAGCCCTCGCTGATGGCCAGGAGCGTTGAGCTGGGGTGGCGGCTGCGGATGTAGGAGATGGCCTGGATCAAATCGGAGGGGTCCCCGAATTCCTGAAGCCTGGGAGTGACCAGTGGGCAGCCCGCAACGCCCCTGGAATGGAACACCACGGGGTAGAAGCCCTGGCGGAGTGCCTGGGCACATAGCCCCAGGAGGTGGGGGGTCACAAGGCCCCATGCATTTGGCACAACCACGAGTACAGGCGGGCAGGAGGAGTAGCACCCCAGGGCTCGCTGCCCGGCTGTCAGCTCCACCTTCAGACGTGGGTGAGGGGCTCCTTCCAGCCATACTGCCCAGTCCAGTGCAACCACGCCCCCATCCCCCATCTGGAGGTGATCCCTGGCGAAGCGGATCTCCTTATCACTGACCCCCACAAAACCAGCGAGGGTTTGGAGGTGCGGGTCGTCCCAGGGCCAGCCAACTGGGCAGGACCAGGCCAGGGAGGCACAGCGCTGGAGCAGGAAGTAAGCCAGAGCCGTAGGCTTGTATAGGAGCTGAGGGCTGGGATGCACCATGCTGGCTGGGGGGGACAGCGGCAGATCCAGACACCAGCAAACACATAGCCAAAGCACACGGAGTGCCGCCCGACACAGCCCCCCTACGAGGCCCCACACCTGGGGCAAACGCAGAAAACAGGCGACGAGGAGCAGAATTATTGAGGGCAGGAGGCACAGAATTCCATTCCACATGATGCAGACCCATCGTGCGGAAGCTGGTAAGGAAAGACTGGGGATCCACATCCTACCACTAGGCCGTTCCAGCACAGTCAGTGTCCGGTCTCACGCTTCAGAGAGTCTCCTCTGCCCTGAGCTGCCTGCCTGCTTTTTAGCTGCTTTTTCCTGCTGTCTGTCCATCTGAGCTGATCCCCTCCCCCCATTAATCATTGACTCCTCAGTAATCAATCTGGCCATTCTGTATCATTCTGCTCCCACCCCCCAGTGTATACAGTGTATACAGGGAAGCTCAGATCAGTATGTTCCTGTTCTTTCATTGCAAACTGACTATTTAGGAAGGTATCCACACGTATAAACAACCAGCTTTGTGCACCTGCCTGTCGGATACATCTAACCTGGCTACATTTCCCAGATGCTCCCTTTAGCCACTTGTATAGTCGCATCTGTCCACCCAGGGCTGCCAATTGCATGCATCTGGCATGACAATCGAGCTTTCAGACTCTCACAATCACTCAAGAAACCTTACAGCAAATCTATATTATTCTATTATAAAAGCTCCAAAGCTTTGGGGTAGTTTGTGAACCCTACAGACTATGTACAAAGTAATAAACCTGTTACATATATGGTAATGTATGTGCATGTGTGTGCAGACATGTCTCGAACATCTCACTCCAGCCAACTTGCCAGAGTTGACATCAGAGAGACTGTGTGCTTGGGAAACGTACCCCTGTTTGTGAGTGAGATGGTTCATCTATCCTGGACAAAAGGGATATACACTCACCTAAAGGATTATTAGGAACACCATACTAATACGGTGTTTGACCCCCTTTCGCCTTCAGAACTGCCTTAATTCTACATGGTATTGATTCAACAAGGTGCTGAAAGCATTCTTTAGAAATGTTGGCCCATATTGATAGGATAGCATCTTGCAGTTGATGGAGATTTGTGGGATGCACATCCAGGGCACGAAGCTCCCGTTCCACCACATCCCAAAGATGCTCTATTGGGTTGAGATCTGGTGACTGTGGGGGCCATTTTAGTACAGTGAACTCATTGTCATGTTCAAGAAACCAATTTGAAATGATTCGAGCTTTGTGACATGGTGCATTATCCTGCTGGAAGTAACCATCAGAGGATGGGTACATGGTGGTCATAAAGGGATGGACATGGTCAGAAACAATGCTCAGGTAGGCCGTGGCATTTAAACCAATTGGCACTAAGGGGCCTAAAGTGTGCCAAGAAAACATCCCCCACACCATTACACCACCACCAGCAGCCTGCACAGTGGTAACAAGGCATGATGGATCCATATTCTCATTCTGTTTACGGCCAATTCCGAATGTCTCAACAGAAATCGAGACTCATCAGTTTGGAGTTCAGGAGATTGTCTTGACCAGGACCACACCCCTAAATGCATTGAAGCAACTGCCATGTGATTGGTTGATTAGATAATTGCATTAATGAGAAATTGAACAGGTGTTCCTAATAATCCTTTAGGTGAGTGTATATAACCAACCCATGGCTTTGATGACTCTCTGTAGTTCAGGAAAAATTACAGTAGAAGTGGTGATTGGCCTTATTATAGTCTTAGGATGAAGTCTATCTATGTTAAAGTAACCGCAGTAACACTAAGTAACTCACTCCAGGACATACTGAGTATTACAGAATGTTAAACTGATACTGCAAGACGCTGACATCCATTGTTTTTTAGAGCTGAAACCATGGAAATTTACAATTAGAAAATCACAGATCCTCCTGTTTCCCATCCTCTGTTGTACACGAGGTTCTCTGGTTTAAGATCCTTAAGCCGAAAAGGAAGGTTACACAGGCTGATAATCAGGCCTTGCTAACTTTGTTTTTGCAGCAGACTGGCCAGTTCACTCGAAGAACATGCTAAATTTCCATCCACCAGAGGGCGATACAGAGAGATAACTCCTTGTTTGTGGAATGGTGCTGTTACATTAATATTCCATTTTTCCATTCCAGTCTCTCTTTGTATATGATGTTACTATTTTCTGTCCCTGGTGTTCAGTCCAGGTTCTCAAGGGCGCGCACTTGTCCAGTGATCCTCTGCTCTGGACAAAAGTATAGGGGCACACTCTTAATCACTGAATTCATGTATTTCAGTAAGAACAATTGCCACAGGTCAAAATCAAGTGGAAAAAAGTGGAAGCATTTAGGAACAAGAGAAACTCGTAAGATCACATAAAGTAACGTGCAGGATTACCTAGTGCTGTCGCATAGTGTGTATAAGTCGTCTATGCACTGCTGACTCAACAACAGCATGGTTCCAAACTTCCTCCGGCATTAACCCCAGCATAAAACTGTGCGCCGGGGGCTTCATGGAATGGCCTTCCATGGCCGAGCAGCTGCATGCAAGCCTCACATCACCAAGCATAATGCCAAGCGTCAGATGGTGTAAAACATGCTGCCACTGGACTCTGGAGCAATGGAAACATGCTCTGTGGAGTGACAAATCATACTTCTCTGTCTGACAGTTTGATGGACAAGTCTGGGTTTGTCGGACACTAGGAGAACTTTACCTGCCTCACTGCATTGCACCAACTGTAAAGTTTGGTGGAGGAGGGATAATGGTATGGGGTTGTTTTTCAGGGATTGGACTAGGGCCCTTAGTTACAGTAAAGGGAACTCTTAATGCTTCAGCATACCAAGATATTTTGGACAATTCTCTGCTTCCAACTTTATGGGAGCAGTTTGGGGAAGGTCCTTTTCCAGCACAACTGTGCCCCAGTGCACAAAGCAAGGTCCACAAAAACATGGTGTGGTGTGGAAGAACTGGCCCGCACAGAGCCCTGACCTCAACCCCATCAAACACCTTTGGGATGAACTAGAATGGAGATTGCAAGTCAGGCCTTCACATCCAACATCAGTGCCTGACCTGACAAATGCTCTTCTGGATGAATGGGTAAAAATGTCCTACAGACACACTCCAAAATCTTGTGGAAAGAAGAGTGACAGCTGTTATAGCTGCAAAGGGGGGGCCAACTCCATATTGATGCCTATGGATTTATAATGAGATGTCCTGTTCCTGTAGGTGTGATGGCCAGGTGTCCCGATATATATACACACACTGCTCAAAAAAATTAAAGGAACGCTTTGAAAACACATCAGATCTCAATGGGGGGAAAAATCATGCTGTATATCTATACTGATATGGACTGGGTAATGTGTTAGGAATGAAAGGATGCCACATCGTTTGATGGAAATGAAAATGATAAACCTACAGAGGGCTGAATTCAAAGACACCCCAAAAATCAAAGTGAAAAAATGATGCGGTAGGCTGGTCCATTTTGCCGAAATTTCATTGCAGCAACTCAAAATCGTACTCAGTAGTTTGTATGGCACCCACGTGCCTGTAGGCATGCCTGATAATGTCGGGGCTGCTCCTAATGAGACGACGGATGGTGTCCTGGGGGATCTCCTCCCAGATCTGAACCAGGGCATCACTGAGCTCCTGGACAGTCTGAAGTGCAACCTGGTGGCGTCGGATGGACTGAAACATAATGTCCCAGAGGTGTTCCATTGGATTTAGGTCAGGCGAGCATGGGGGCCAGTCAACGGTATCCATTCCTTGATCCTCCAGGAACTGCCTGCATACTCTCGCCACACGAGGCCGGGCATTGTCGTACACCAGGAGGAACCCAGGACGCACTGCACCAGCGTAGGGTCTGACAATGGGTCCAAGGACAACAGGGTGCCAGTGGTGGATCTCCCAATTCTGGTATTCTATGGCAAATCCCCATCAAGCTCCACGGTCCTGGGCAGTGAACACAGGGCCCACTAGAGGACGTCGGGCCCTCAGGCCACCCTCATGAAGTCTGTTTCTGATTGGCCTGCTGGAAGTCATTCTGTAAGGGCCCTGGCAGTGCTCTTCCTGTTCCTCCTTGCACAAAGAAGCTGATACTGGTCCTACTTATGGGTTAAGGACCTTCTACGGCCCTGTCCATCTCTCCTAGAGTAACTGCCTATCTCCTGGAATGTCCTCCATGGCCTTGAGACTGGGCTGGGAGACACAGTAAACCTTCTGGCAATGGCACATATTGATGCACCATCCTGGAGGAGATGTAGGGTCCAGGTATCACCTCATGCTACCAGTAGTGACACTGACTGTAGCCAAATGCAAAACTAGTGAAAAAAACTGTCAGAAAAGATGAGGAGGGAAAAATGTCAGTGGCCCCCACCTGTTAAACCACTCCTGTTTTGGGGGTCGTCTCATTGTTGCCCCTCTAGTGCACCTGTTGTTAACTTCTTTAACACCAAAGCAGCTGAAACCGATTAACAACCCCCATTGCTACTTAATGGACTAGATCAATATCCCAGAAGTTAAATTGACTAGATGCTATACTCTGATTAAAAAGTGTTCCTTTAATTTTTTTGAGCAGTGTATATATATACAGTATATATATACACACACACACTGAGAAGACTGTTGCTCAGTGTCCCTCTGGGTTGGACACAGCAGTGCCTTTTTACACGTTATTATGGGTTTTTTTTGTACGAGACCACATGAAACAGACACGTCACATTCCTGCAGCCTTTCCACAATTCCCAAAGGATGAGTCCAATCTTGTGCCTTCATTAAACCTAAGTAAATTAGGGTAATTATGGGGCAAATTACATGTAATTATAATGTACATTCACTACATAGTAACATATATGTTGTGTTGTGATGTTAGCAGGTCTGTGTAATGAATTGTGCATTATCGATGTCTGTTTGGGACTTGGAGAGGAGTTCTGGGCCTTTTAGGGTCTGAGAACTAGAGAATGATGAATCTTTCCACAAACTGCTAGACTTTTCTGCCACCTTTAACAATCAGAACCGCTCTAAAATAATTTGACTCTTCCCTTTAGGAAGATCTTACCAAAAGTCTTGGGGTGCAGAGGCGTCCAAGTCGTGTAACAACCCCCAGGTTCAGTCCTTGGTCCAATCAGTTCTACACTACCTCTCTAGTTCTTCCTACCTCTACCATGCTGATGACATCCAACTCTAATTGACCTTCCCTCCTGAGGACATGACAGTCTCTACTTGGACCTCCGCATGCAGTGTGTGTGCCCTGTGGTGTCTTGGCGACTGCCCAGGGTTGGTTCCTTGTTGCGCCCGTTTTTCCTGGGATAGGCTCCGGTCCCCCCTGCGACCCCGGTTGGGATTAAGTGGTTTCAGAAAATGGATGGATGCTGTTGTGCATCTCAGAACAAAACAAGTATAACCTTTAAAAAAAATCTTAATTTTATTACTGTTACTTCTAATTTTATACAGAACACACAAAACAAAGTTTTTTTGCAACCTGAATCACTTTCCCCTTTTTCATTCCATATATTATTTACAATATCATTTTAAATTTGAAAGGCCATAGAACATCCAGAGACTTTTGCTGGGATGAGGAAATGAGGGCGTAGAACAGGGATCTTCAAATCTGGACCTCGAATCCAAATCCAGGCCTTGTTTTCAATTCTCCCAGGTAGTTGGTTTAATACTTACTGATTCTGATTGGCCACAGAGGCTTCATACCCAGCTCACAGGTAAAGGAAGGCTGTAAAATCAGCAGGGCTCGGACCTTGAGGACCGTGATTTGAATAGCCCTGACGTGGAAGGTCAAGGTCATGGGTCAAAAGTCATAAGTACAAAAATGATGGGGGGAGGGGGTCAGTTGGCTATGGAGACAGCCACTGTGACCTTTGGTGAAGCATTTTACCCACAATACAACTGTCAGACATCATTGCAGGGGGAAATTAAAAAGCGGGACACAGTTCATGTAGAGTGGTACATATCACAGGGGTAACAACCCTAGTGAGAAGAGTGTATATTAACTCTGGGTGTTTGTGAGGCTGGTAGTGCCTGTGCTTAACTGGGGAGGCTGGGTCGGGATGGGTTGGGTCTGAGTCCCAAGAAACTCTGATTGGCTGTGCAGCTGGAGGGGGTTAGAGTTCAAGCTGTGCCATTGGTATATTTTGAAAGCTTGTTCTCCAGGTCACAAATTCGCTTTTCCTGAGAGAGGACGGTAGCCTTCAGACTTTGTATTTCCTCCAGCAGCTTCTCCACAAATTGGGGCTGGAGCAAGGGTTTAGGAGGACAGAGAAATGGAGGGAAAGGAGAATAATGGGAATGAGGGGTGAGGTGAAGAGAAGAGATAAAAGAAGAAAGAAGCAGGTGAAGAAGTATGCAAGGACATAGTACACACCGACTTAGACCATACACACATAACAATAAAGTTCATGTGCATGAAAGGAGAGGAGTGGCAAGGAGGTGAGAGAACAGGACAGGGTCACCAAGGGAGGACTGCAGAAGTGGACGACAAACATTCAGCAGAAGAGAACTTGCTGTTCAATTAGAGAACGGAACTTCATATCATATAACAAAACTTGATCAACTAGATTCTACTCTAGATTACTTCTACAATTTCTAGTCCACTACCTCTACAATCTTTATCTCCCCTACACTCTCCAAAAATCTTTATTAAAAGCCCAGCTTCACATGGCATGATTCTTTTGATCATTACCTGTACAATGTTCCCGGGAAGTTTGAATAGATCTGTCAAATGCTTTTTGTGTTACAGCGCTAATGAGATTAAGTGTCTGAGGTTGCTATCTCTCTTATATCACTATGCAGAGCTGCTTAAATTTTGATGCGATTTGTCCAAATATGCACATAACCACATTTTGAACATGTCCACAAAGTTTGATAAAGATCCATCAAATAATTTTTTAGTTATTGAATTAATGAGACAAGGTCCCAAAACCCCAAAACCATATGTATTCCCTGTCCAGGGAACACAATAACATCAAGAAAATCTACCTACACAAGGTCTCTAAACACCAGAAATACAAGAATAGACACTGTAACACAAACAAGAAAAAAATGAAACCAGACTATGTGACAAAAACATAGAAACTTACTTCAGCAACGGGAACATTTAGCATTTGTAACTGACACTGAATGAAAATGTGAATTCCAGGTACTGTCCACACATGGTTGACCCTGCATGAAGGGGTCAGAGATCATGAGCTGATGTCACTTAGGCACTCACTGGCAGGCTGCTGCCGTCGCAGGAAGACATGGTCCGGCGTGGCACAGGCCGTGAGTCCAGGATATTCTTCCTGGCCACCTTGAGCTCCCGGCTCTTTGGGGGCACGTAACCCTCCCGCAGGGATACCAGCACTGGGCCCTCATCCCGGCCCGCCAGCCACTCCTCAGGCTCCAGCGCAGGCTCTGGGCCTGCTGTATCTGGGTACAGATCGTCCTGGAACAGGTCCGACTGTGGGTACAGATTAAAAGGGAGGAGTAGGGTTGGGGTGAATAAAAGGTTTCTGCCTATGGTTCAAGATGGTTCAAGAAAACAGAGGTGTGGTGGGACAGAAACTCAGTGGCTCTCAGCACTGACCTTCCTGGGCACAGTCATCATGATGGGCTCGCACTTTCGCTCATGAAGCTTGTACAACCTGTTGGGGAGAAAGCATGATCCTCATTGGTCAAAAGGCCAGGCTGACATGCTGACCAGCAGGGTGAACAGAGCTCTCTGCTGCCCTCTTTGTGTCGACCGATGAACTACACTCATCCAGTAACTAAAGATAACAGAATTCCACAGTCCCAATGACTGCTCTACTCCAGTGAGTGACACCAAACACCAAGGCTCCGATTGTCACTGTGACTGTCACCTTACACAGGGGGTATGAGTGGGGCAGTGGCAGACACAGCGCGGCTGCTGACCTGGCAATCTCACACTTGCTGACGTCGACGCCTCTCTTGGGCATGAAGCCCATTCCCCGCTGGGGCTCCTTGCTGCTATAGGTGCTGAGGTAGTGGACATACGGGTGCTCATCCGTGATCTCAAAGTACCGGATGCTGCTATCGCCCTGTGGTAGGGGAGGTGGCATGGAGGAAGGGGTACGAGACAGAGAAAGGCTAAGGAAGGAGATCCCTGCTTTTGCCGCCCTTCCTTGGTTCCCCCGAGGTCGCAGAGAGCTGCATGATTCAGTGTCAGCTTTCATTGCACCAGAGAAGCTGCTGGAGCAACTGATCCGCGACCTTTCAGAGCAGAGGATCACTGGACACCTGCACGACCTTGAGAGCCTGGACCGGCCACTAGGGGGCAGTGATTTAATATAGAAAGAGAAACAGGAAAGGAAAAATGGAATACAGATGCAATTTATGGTCTTTTTTTTTTGCCGCCATGCCGGGTCACCTTTCCACACAGGTACACAATGTTGGTGTCTGCGTCGTAGAACGGCAGCAGGACCCCATTGCTGGTGTCCATCTCCAGCAGTGCGATGGGCTCCTCAAAACTCGTCTGGGAGGGAGAAAAGGGTGGAAGTTTCAATAAGACGATACATGGGGTTAATATGCGTGAGAATCAGGGTGTGAGGAGGAGCTTCACCGGGTCCCAAAGGCCCAGTTCCCTCTGGCTCATTCGAGTGAAGCCTGTGGTGAAGATGTTTCCCTCTCTGGTGAAGATGGCTCTCATCGGCCGGATGCCCTCGTGGGGGGCCAGCCGCTCCTGCCGGGCGGATGTGAGGCAGACATTACATGCCGATCACAGAGATGGACACTGTTAGCCGCAAACTAGTTGCAGACAACCTTACTCAAGCACCAATTGCAGAGGCAGTCTCAGTCAAGCATGAATTATAGAGAGTCAATCACACACTACTGACCGCAGACAGAGAGCCTTACTTGCATATTGATCACAGGGATCCCCAATCACACACCTTGATCACTGTGACAAGCACTGATCACAAAGACAGACTCAGTCAAGCACGGATTACAAAGGCAGACTTAATCACACGCTAATCACAGACTCAGTCACACACTGATCACATTGACAGACAGTCTCAGTCAAGCACTGATCACAAAGACACACTCAATCACACACCAATCACAAAAACAGGCGGCCTCAGTCACACACAAAGATGCACAACTTGGTCTCCTTGTGATGCTGTTGCAATTAGTTGGGGTTAAATCCTTTAAGTCAGCCATGTTGGGAGAGATACTCACCGCTACCACATCGCCCTTGCGCGGGTCGCACACACGCAGCCGTCGGTCCTTGCAGGTGGTGCAGAAGAGGCTCCCGTTACGGTTCCAGCAGACGCTGTAGATGAGGTCGGGGTGGTCGTCCATGGAGATCAGGGGCTCCCCTGTTCCAACATTCCAGATGATGATCAGGTTATCACTGCCTGGGGGACACATAGAGGCAGGGAGGCTTATTCATCATCCTCATCATCACCACTGCCTATTCCCTCACTTTGCTTACGAGGTGCACATTAGTGCACGTTAGTGCCAGATTTCTGGCTATTTCTCCCGTGGGTACAACAGCAGTTGCCCTACTGGAATTTGAACCTGCTGGTCAGAGGTCTAGTCACAAGTGCTCAACTGGTAGAGTCAATTTCAGCATAGTTTAGTATTTTATTTGGTTTTTATTATTTGTTACCCAGATTTACTACATGACCGAGATTTCAGAGACCAGAAGAGTTTTGCTGTTGTACCATAACACAATATAATATCATATTGAATGAAAAGGATTTCAAGTAGAGGAAATGAAAGTTGAGATGTGAAAAGTGATGGTCATATTTCTTACGGCAGTAACCTTGGCGGGGACATGAGGGGGCGCACCTGCGGTGAGGAGGATGTTTCGGGCTGTGGGGTGCCAGCTGATGATGCCCACACGCTTGGAGTGCCCCTCCAGGATGACGACGGGCTCGGTCAGGTGGCGCACGGGGGTGTGGTCCGTGATCTGCCACACCTGCACAGCAGGACAGATCAGGGGGGGGGGGATCCTCAAACCTGAATCCAGGCAATAAGGGCGTCGATCCAACAGAAATGTGCAAAAGGGGAGTGGAAGAAATGTGGGTGTATGATGTCATAATGCCCAGAGAGAGAGACGAGACAGGAAAATGTTAGAGATTAACAAAATATCTCTGTGTTCGCACAGTGAAATGAGAGCTACATCTGGAATGATTTCAGTGACGGAAAAGTAAAAAAAACGAGAGATCCAGAGCCACTGGCAGCTTAGACCCCTAATCAATGTTATGTGCATTAAAATATATGTTAGACAGGAGGACGTCAGTGAGGAGAGTATCAGTGACTGCGAGCTGTGTCACCACGGTGTGATACCCAGAGGGGCTGCAGGGGGCGCTGTAGGCACTGTGCTATAACAGGCTGATGAGCCCCCCCGTAATCCTCAGATGACAGACAGGATCCTCCAGCAGAGAAGGGTAATCCGCTTCTCAGGACCTGAAGGGCGGCATGGTGGGCATGCCGGGGTACTGGTGAGGACGGGACAGCTGCGGGGGCATGTGGGGGCGCGGCCAAGTCCCCCCACCAATGCAACACACACGTGTACGCATGCTGCTTTTTAACCCTAAAGCACTGGGGTGCTGAACCTAAACTGGAGACTCCTGCTTAGATCTTAACTGAAACTTTGTGTAACTGGGTATCCATGTGTGTGTGAGCCAAGGTTATAATAGTTTTGGATTTTTCATTATAGTTTAGTTTTATTTAGTTTTGACCTTTTTCCCTCTAATTCAGTTAGTTTTAATTAGTTTTTAGAGCAGGTTTGCTAGTTTTAGTTAGTTTTAATTTTTTCTAAATGCTTAGTTTTAGTTTAGTTTTTATTAGTTTTAGTATTAGTTTACATTTTTTCATACTTTGGGTTATTTGTCAGGTGCAGGATTCAAAAAGATCATTAAGTATTGTGTAATAAAACTCAACAAAGGAAACCATTTCAAAAAGTGTATTCAGTTACTTTTGAACAACCAACCATCCACAACAACCAACACTCTACAAGATATAGCAGCTTATGTGCAAAATGTGTGTGATACTGCTTCTGATGTTGGATACAGGTAGTGTGCCTGGTACAAATCAAAATAGTCAATAGACTAAAGACACACATGAACATAAGAATATAAACCCATTCACGAGGCACACGTCACATTTCTTGACAGCCAGGAGTCTCAGGGAGCTCAATCTGAGAAAAACATTAACAAACTCAAGAACCATTGCACAACAGGATTGTCTCAGCATGGAAACCCAGACTTCCCTCTCTCCGGCCACTTCCTCCAGCTCCACTGGGGAAATCCCGAGGCGTTCCCAGCCCAACCGAGACATACTGTATAGTCTCTCCATCGTGTCCTGGGTCTTCCCCGGGGGCTTGATGCTGATGTGCTTTGCTTTTCTATGTTAACCATACGTCCAATATTGTAAACAAAAAGGAAATGAAGTTTTGTGGTGTTCCTGCGTATTTACTAACCAGCAGCTGTTTGGTCGTCGGTGAAAGCAGTTCATTATGGTTGTCCCCTCCTTCCCGGTGCTACCTGGCCGGGATGTTGCTTCTCTTTCGGGGGAGCTAATCAGAGAGGCTACTTGGTCAAGGTACTCGCGATTAGCCGTCTTATGCGAGCTTCTCAAGTGGACTTTCAGATTTTGTCACCTGTTTCTACAATGCACCTGCTCTTAACTGTCTCGCTGTCATAGTCAAAGAAATTCCAGATAGGACTCTGCCGCCTTCTCCCAACTTTTGTCCTCGCCATTTTTCCAGGTAACGCGGTGAGCAAAAGCCGACTGTAAACAAGAAGTGACGGACAGAGAGGTGCCGTACGGTGCTGCCAGCTCACGTAAAACTGCTAGAGCGAAATAAATCGATTTATAAATAAATTGACAAAGACGAAAACGAAGGACATTTCATCTATAATTTCAGTTCGTTTTAGTTAGTTTTGTCAACGCACAATACAGTTATAGTTAGTTATCGTTTTTTCTTTTAATTGTCGTTTTTATTTATTTCAGTTAACGAAAATGTTTTTTCAATTCTAGTTTTCGTTATTTCGTTCGTTTTCGTTGACGATAATAACCTTGGTGTGAGCCACTAGCAGCATGACCAATTAAAAAAGCCCCCCTTGTATGATTGGCAGCCAAATCATCCAATCATCTATCCCTCACTTGTCTTTTAGTTTAGTTCGTTTTTTTTTCTTTCTTTTTTTGTTGCTGTTGTCCCTGTCCCAGCCACTGCTGAGGAATTTCTCGCAGTCATCTCAGAGCTGAGCACCCACATAGGACGAGGCCCTCCCCAACACCTAGCCGCGAGCATCAGCCATATTCTCCCTCCCATATGCTCCTCATACCTACATGTCAGCCCGCCCCCTGGTGGACTGCGGATGCAACAGAACCCATGAGGTGACGTGACAGGCAGCATGTGACAATGTGGTGTCCTCCCATGAGTGCTGGAGTATGGTCTCCTTCCTCTAGGAGACCATTAAACTGCAGGTACGTGAGGGTGCAAACATCATCAGCACCCCTGCTCATGCATACAGTATCAGTGCATTGTAGTTGCACCCTCCTGTTGTAAGCTTGTCATCACCCGGGACAGCCTGCTGTCACCAAGTGCTTATATGCCACGTCCACATGCCACTCCTGTGTGACGAGCAGAACGAATCAGGAGCGAGGCGTGGTGGCTAAATCATGGCATCCACGTTCTGCACCATTGCATCGCCGCGACGAATTCTCCGCATGTGTTTATCTTATGAAAGACGGTTTTACTACTTCAGTATTTTAGGATCCAAGGTGTTGACTGGCTGACAGGTCGATTACCATGGCGGTGCAGTCCTCGGAACAGCTGGCCAGGATGTTGTCGTTGTGGGGACACCAGTCGATGTCCAGGACGGGGCCTGAGTGACCTGCCACTAGGGGGTAGTTTTTATCCAGACGGCCCGTCTGGAACAAAAAGAGCAAGACAGTCAAGGATGCATGCACAGACACAGAAACACACAAAAACACAGACAAATGCACTGTTGGACAAGCCTGGCCCAGAGGGGGGCTTTGATTTTGACTACATTTCCCATCATGCTGTCCTGAAGACAGATTTGACTTCTACCATACTTCCTGTTATACAATGACAGAGGGATTGTGCGAAAATATATGAATATTTTGTTGAAGACTCCCATCAGCCTCTTTGGTAGTACTCCCTTCATGACCAGTGATGTCACTTCCTCACAATGCCACATACTGCTGTTTTGTCAGTGTGAACACTTGTTGCCCCCCACCCCACCATTGCCCAGGCATTTATTTATAGCTCAGTGATGTGCTGCTGAAAAGGCCCTGGGATGGGGGGGGGGAGTAGGGTGCATATTGGCTGCTGTGTATTTTTAGCTGACGGTCTGAGCACAGGGACGTCTGATGGGGGCACAGAAGCAGTTCAGGGGACAAAAAGCAGAGCAAAACGACCACAGACCTGGATCTGGCCTTCAGTGGTTAAAAAAGCAAGAACTGTAACCACAATGATGTTGGTTCATTTGTACTGTGTGGGACAAATAAGCCATAATAACATCCTCTGAGATAATAATGAATATAAACACGATGATGGGCTAAAGGCTAATCTACATAGCACATGATCACAACCAATCCCAGGAAGTAGTGATGGGCAAATGAAGCATCATGAACCATTTGCTGTATTTTTTGATCCCACTAGATGGTGCTCTTGGCTTGCTTTGGGGCATGCTTTGAGCCCTTTTATGAACAGAGAGCACCATCTAATGGGTTCAGAAAATACAGTAAATGGTTCGTGAAGCTTCATTTTGCCCATCACTGCCAGGAAGCTATCGCAGAACACCCTGGTTTGGAGGCCAGTCCATCACAGAGTAGCGTAAATGTTTATATGTTCCTGCCTTGTGTTTTCTTATTGTAAATAAAAGTTTACAATGTATCAACTGAAACAGGGACTGCTACCTTAGGTCTACTGCTTATCCAGTGTGCTCCCTGCTGGATATGCTTGGACAGTGCTTTTGTTTTATCGCAGACATACGAATGATGAAACAAATCTGCTAAACATGGAAGTCGGAGTTTAAAATGGCACACTGTAAAGAGAAGGAGCAGCTGCACCTCCTGACCTTGGATAGGGGCAGCACCAGGATGGCACCCCCACCGCTGGACTCCACGATGACGGCCAGGAACTTGGGGTTGACGGCGGAGAAGGAGCTGTCCCAAGTAACCTTGGAGACGCGGATGTCATCGTAGCTCTGCTCCGCTTTCGCCGCCTGCCCAAAGACGTGGCGGAACTTGCTCTGGCGCACGATGCTGCGACTCATCGCTATGGCTACGGGTGAGAGAGGCTGGTTATATGGAAGAATGGAGAGGATAAACAAACAGGAGGAACTGAGGGGAGAGAATGAGAGAGAAAGAGAGAGGGACAGAGAGAGAAACTGAGAAAGAAGGGGAATGAGAGAGACACAGACGGAGAGAGAGAGATGGCACAGCCAAAAAAAGAAGACTGAGAGGAGAGAAAAGAGAAATAACAAGGAAATCTGAGAGGAGAGGGAGACAGAGAGAACAAGAGAAGGGAAAAGAGAAAAAGAGTGAAGGGCAACATGCTCAGGGAAAGAAAAACCATCGATATATTACATATAAGCCAAAAGAAAAAAAGCAGGGATAAGATAGAGGAGAGAGAGAAAGTAAAAACTGAGGGAGGAGACAACGACAAAGGTACAGAGAAGTCAGAGAGAACAGAAAGTCATTGATTTCAAAAAATACATGAGATTCTAAATACACCTGGTAGCTACAGTCCAACTTCCAGGTGCTCAGTTTTAATCCACAGCCAGTCAGTCAGGTGCTGCTTTAGGGCAGAGTGTCAACACCCATCTGGGTTTGAAGTCACACATGTTGCATTTTGACCTCTATTAAATAGCAAACAACCATCAAACCAGATCAGACATCAAACAGAAAAAAAACAAATGATACAAGTGAGGGAAAAAAGTAAGCATAATTATGTTTAGTGGGCTTGTCTTTAAACAATTGCCCCACTAGGTGTGACGGCCGAGTGGTTAAGGCGTTGGACTTAAAATTCAATGAGGTCTCCCTGTGCAGGTTTGAGCCCTGTGTGTATGTGTTAGGCTAGGGATTTTTTTGCAACAGTAACACTATGACATTGCACTTCACAGCTTCCATTATACACTCTGTGTATAATACTGTGTGCAGGTCATCTTGTTATACACTATTCACTGCACAATCATTCAAGAATCCCACTTTTTAATGTTACACGGTACCCTTTATTTAAAGTTTGTCTTGTTGTGTGGATCTCGAGAAATCACTTAGTCAAATTCCTTGTAACTGTGACCTTACTTGGGCAATAAAAACTGATGCTGATTTGGGAAAAAATATTTTCTCTTCCATGTAAATTTACAAATCCATGAGAAATATTTTTCACATAATAAAAATAGTCATAATAGTCATATTACACATACATTTATCTGCAGAATCACAGAACTGGTCAGCAACAAGCACTGCACTGCATGTTTTGCGTCCATGATGTACAGCACTGTGCAAAAAGTCTTAGGCACTCAAAGAGGTTACTTATCTGGGTAAAAAAATATACTATATGGACAAAAGTGTTGGGACACCTGACCATCACACCTACAGGCACTTTTATGACGTCCCATTCTAAATCCATAAGCATCAATATGGAGTTGGTCCCCCCTTTGCAGCTATAAGAGCTGTCACTCTTCTGGGAAGGCTTTCCACAAGATTTTGGAGTGTGTCTGTGGGAATTTTTGTCCATACATCTAGAAAAAAGTGTTTGTGAGGTCGGGTACTGATGTTGGATGTAAAGGCCTGGCTTGCAATCCCAGTTCTAGTTCATCCCAAAGGTTTTCGATAGGAATGAGGTCAGGGCTCAGTGCCGGTCGGTCAAGTTCTTCCACACCAAATTCACCCATTTCTTTATGGACTTTGCTTTGTGCACTGGGGCACAATCATGCTGGAACAGAAAAGGGCCCTCATCAAACTGTTCCCACAAAGTTGGAAAAAGAATAGTCCAAAAAGCCTTGGAATGCTGAAGCATTAAGATGGCCCTTCACTGGAACTAAGGCGGTCCAGCACAACTCCTGAAAAACAGCCCCATACCATTATCCCTCCTTCACCAAACTTTACATTTGGTAGAATGCAATGAGGCAGGTAACATTCTACTGTCATCCGCCAAACCCAGACTCATCCGTCACACTGCCAGACAGAGAAGCGTGAATCGCCACTCCACAGAGCATGTTTCCACTGCTCCAGAGTCCAGTGGTGGCATGGTTTTCACCTCTCCATCCAATGCTTGCTATTGCACTTGGTGATGTTTTACTTGCATGCAGCTACTCAGTAATGGAAGCCCTTTCCATGAAGCTCCCGGCGCAGTTTTGTGCTGGAGTTAATGCCAGAGGAATTTCGGAACTCTGCAGTTACTGAGTCAAGAGAGCGTTGGCGACTTTTACACACTACGCCTCTCAGCACTGTGACCCCACTCTGTTACTTTACATGAACTCCTACTTCTTGGCTGAGTTTCTGTTCTTCTTAAACGCTTCCACTTTGCAATGATACCACTGACAGCTGACTGTGAAATATTTAGTAGGGAAGACATTTCATGAACTGACTTATTGCAAAGGTGGCATCCTATGGCAGGACCAAGCTTGAATTCACTGAGCTGTCCAGAATGACCCATTCTTTCAGAAATGTTTGTAAACCCGACTCCATGGCCTGGTGCTTCATTATATACACCTGTGGCAATGGGTCTGAATGAATCTCCTGAATTCAATGATTAAGAGGTGTGTCCCAATATTGTTGTCCATACAGTATACATTTGCTCAGAGAAAAAACACAACTTAACATTAGAATGTATGCAAATTATAGCATAGTAACACAAAAAATTAACAACAATATCTTCTGTTCTCCAAAAAGTTACTGATATCTTATTGGACGGCTAGATTCCTAGTTCCAAAACCTCTCCTCAGGGGCACCTTAGCCATTCTATGTCTTTGTTAAATTTCCCCACAAGCTCACTAAACTAATTAACCTAATTAGATAAATAACTCAGTGAGGTAGAGATTAGCTGAATAAGGTGGGCAGGTGGTCCAGTCGAAAAAACGTTGTGTATTGGATGGTTGCTGCAAAGCTTTTTAAATGGCTGACACACCTTAACAGACACAATATCATAGTTTTACACCCAACATAAGGATGATTTAAACATCATTTTCTTCGACTGCCTGAGATTTTTGCGCAGCACTGTATTTACATTAGACTTCATAGCTTCTTATTAACTTGCAAACTATTCTTAAAAGTGCAGCTTGGAGCACATGCAGGGTGTTCTGTGACAGATCAGCCGCTGTTACCCTGACTGTGCTGCTCAGCTGACTTGATCACCCTTTAGGATGGTGTTAGCAGGTCCACTGCATGTAGTGACACACATACCAGAATGGCGTCTAACACCCACAAACAGACACTCCCCAGGGGAAGGGGGGAGGGAGGGAAACAACAGCAAACAGCATCCTGATCCAGTCCACCATCCCTCCAAGCCAACATATTCTCTTAGGGTACCACAGACAGTAGGGTGCCTCATTAATGTATGGCACACTGGAGAGTGTATCATTAATGTGCGAGATAGTCAACAGTGCGTTATTAATATATGACATACTGTAGGGTTAGGGTGCATCATTAATGTACCACACACTGAACAGTGCGTTATTAATATATGACATACTGTAGGGTTAGGGTGCATCATTAAAGTACCACACACTGAACAGTGTGTTATTAATATATGACACATTGGAGGATATGTCATTAATACCTTTAAACTAGCTGTGATGGCCAAGTGGTTAAGGTGTTGGGCATGAAATCCAGTGGGGTCTCCGCACACAGGTTCAAACCCGTATGTTAAGGATTTTTGGATGTGAAATCTTGTTACACACACACACTACTTGCTACGCAATCATTCAGGAATAATGTGTTATTAATGTGCCACACACTGTAAGGTCATATGTGTACCAGATACTGTAGAGAATCTCATTAATATACCACACGTTGCAAAGTACCTCATTACTATAACTAACTATAAAGTGCATCATTCATTCACCACACACTGCATTGTCCACTGGTGTACCACACACTGCACAGCATCTCACACATATACCACATGCTGCACCTTATTATTGATCTACAGTTGTTCACTGCATCATTAATATACAATACACTGAACAGTGTGTTTTGTGTGTCTCAGATTGAACTGGGCCTTACTGATGTGCCCCCACATTGTGAAGGATCTTTTGATGTACCATTTGCTAGACAGCATATTTACATTGTCCCTATCACTCTCATTTTCTATACCTCCTGGAGAAATTCAGACATATGAGAACCTTAAATGTATAATTTCTCTCTATTTTCCTCCATGTTGTAAATATTTATCTCTGTAACTCTGCTTATTTGAATTCCACCACGCCATGTACAGCCAGCATTGCATTGTATGACTATATATCAATGGCCATGGAACTGCTGATCGAAGGGTTGCGTTATTCACAGGCACTACTGGAGTAATTGATCTTCGCTTCTTTATATTATCCAACAGTGCAATATATCATAATTAAGAAAGCGATATCTTAGACAGCCTCTGATCAGTAAAAGTTCATCTGTGATACAGTGAAACAGAGAGGATATTTTGTAAATGATCTTCAATATGACAGTACAAATGAAAGCTGCGTTTTTAAATGTTTACATAAATAACCGTTTAACCAATGTTCAACAATGATAAAACACAATTGGATCAGCCTATTCAAGTTAGATCCTTGTTTAAAATGCCCAAGAATAAATTAAAATCGCAGTTGCCTCAGTTGTTACTCTCTTTCTCCCCATTATTTTATTCTGGATATTGAACCGATCTGTAATCGATACTATCGATAGCGAGGGATTGAGATCCCGGTGCCAACTGTTCATTTTGTGTCACAGGGTCTGCGCAGCATGCCTCTGCAAAACAAATATCGCACCAACCTGCGAACGGGCTACAGACTGCGCATAAAAACAACTTCTCCGGTTATTAAAAGCATCTCGCGTAACAAGGTGACAACGTTTCCTTCAATAAACTGTCCGATATAATGGCAATACAGGCAGTTCAGCAAACACACAATCATGCAGTCACACTTTTTTGCGATTGGTTGTACTTGTATTATACATTCTTCGTGTATGCTAAAACTTGCCATACGCCTGAGTGAAGACTCCTCTTACCAGACAGGGGAAAAAATGACACGGTCACTTTCCTAATATAGAAATGCCAATCTGTGCCCCCTTCTCCCCCTCTCTCCCTGCGCCTGCTCCCCCACGGCTACCTTTCTGTTCAAGTCTCTGTCGCTTTTTATGTTGAGCGGTGTGGTACGATTACTTTTCCATCTTCCAGATTAAGGCCGATGGAGACGCCGGACATCCTGCACATCTGGACACATGCCACGGTTTGATCGGACCGCTACAGGGCTTCGATCTCCTATCAACCACACCAGTACCCACGGCACCCCATTCGTGTCCCACGCACAACGTGGTTCGTTTGGGACATCTCACAACATGTGACACCGCAGCCGGCTGGCTTTCCCCGGCGCACGTAACGCATGGGAGGACGACAGACCAGCGGTGTGCCCTTGTCCCGGGGACCAACTCCGCCGCAGTGACGTAAGTACTTTCAAAGTATGCCCAGGATGCGTGGACTCACCTTATTTCGTGGGTTCTCTGCTTGTCCTCCCCTCGCTTGCTCTTTTCCCACCTCCTTGGGGCGTGAATACTCCTGATTTTTGATGCGTTTTTCTTCTACAGATACCCACTGTTCCAGTTCGGTATATTTAGTGCTGGCTCTCACGTCCTAATGTACAAAACTGCGTGACGTTTCCCAGCACTGACAGGGACGGCAGGGGGTAGATGGGGCAATGGGGGGTAGAGAAGTTAGAGAGAGAGAGAGAGAGAGAGAGAGAGAGAGGAGGGGTGCTGAACAGCCTGAGTCAAGGCGGCTCCATCTATTTTTGAGGGGTGGATCGGGGCGTGCAGGGTGGCGTCTGGCGTCAGGCAGTGCGCAGCGGACGTAGAGGGGATTTATGACAAGCCTGGCTTGGAAAAGTAGTGCCCCTTTATGACATTTATTGGCCGTAAAAGTTTTATGCGGTTAACAACCATGGAAATCCGGGGGAGACTAGAACGTATGAAAAGTAAAATACGTAAACGAGATGTACTGTAACTTAATTGCACTACTGAATTCAGTCGCCTCACTTCCCGTTACGCTAAAAACGAGCCCGCGATATATTAATGGTCTGATACTGTACTCAAAACATGTTTATGCATTTGAACCTCTTGACCTTGAACCTACATTATTAGCGATGCATTATTTATAAACTTGAAAATATCTAAAGATTTTGTTGGAAAATAATTATCATACGAAGCCTACAGGTTATTAGTAACTACTAACACTGTTTGGGTTACAGTGAAAACACGTTATATCGGAGAGGGAGTCTTGATGTCGGATGATTTAAGCCCAAAATTTGGCCTGTGCGCCCCCTGGCGGCATTAGTATGCAATATGTGAAGCCGTACGGGAAGTCCTCAGCTAAGAAAAAAGTGTTACAAACCCTGCATAAAAATTGACTTATGCCGGATTTACCTTCCCTTACTATTCACACCTAACAAAAAAGACACGTAAAAATATTGTAATGCGTACTAAAGAACGCAAATAATGGAGAAAAAAAAAAAGTTACAGGCAAATGTCACGTTCTTGTGGTGGCGATTCCGTAAATTCGTATCTCGGAAATTTGTTGCGCGAGTACGGATTTACGTAAGTCTGTTTGGCGTAAATCGAGAGCTGCCTGTATACTGTAAACCGCAGCATTCACTTAATTGAGGTTCCTTTGTTTTAACTATTCAGAACTACTTGCGCTTTTCCAGTCCAATTACACCCAGTGTCCCTCTATATTAAAAATACATTGAAAATGAAACGGCCTCATTTAAAATTTTCTCTTTAATGCTCACAGCTAAAAAACAGAATAAAAAAAAGACATTGTTGTGATGTGCGGTACAGTCGGCCGGCACAATATTATATTTTAAGATTTAACAGTGAAGGCAGAATCCCTCACCGCCGTCAGCTGTACAACAGCTGCTGACATCCACACATAGCAAACACACTCCCTAGGAAATTGTATTCAAAAAGGTACACATTCAAATACCAAGAGTAAAGTGCGTCCAAGACAAACCTCTCCTGACTGTCATTTACAAATCCAAAGCTAGAATATGTACCAACTACCATCCATGCAGATCTATACAAACACCAACCTACCCACACAGACAGACACACAGACATCCAAACCAAATGAGACACGTGGTTTTTGTAAACAGAGTCCAGTAGTGATTGCAGGCACCGGATTGGTCAGCCATCTCCCCCTCCTCAACCAGCTGACCCGGAGGTCTGGGTTCAACTCCTCATTCACTTCATATGGACTGGAGGCTGCTCACCCCAAAGGACACACCCCTCAGGATGCCCCTCCCCCAACCTCACCATGCACACACCCAGACCCCACCCAGCCTGTGTCACATGGTGTTGTAGAGAAAATTGGGTGTCCGTTTCTTTTCGCTTGACTTCTGCAGCTTCTTCAAGGAGTGCATCATTTTATACTGTGGCCATGTTGCTGCAGTGAGTCGGGGGGGTGTGGCCTGCTGTGACAGGGGTGTGGCCTGCTGTGACAGGGGTGTGGCCTGCTGTGGTGAGCAGGAGCGATCACCACAGTGTCCAGAGCCCCCAGTCGTACTGAAATTCACAGGTAGAGTGGCATCATGGGATTGGCAGTGGGGGCTCTGGGGAGACACGCAAAGCTTCTTAGTTGTGTCTTTGCGAGGGTGGTGCAGCTGGGGGTCAGAGGCAGATAGGCATTTTGACTTGCGCGACTCCGCGAGGGAGGGGCTCCAGTCTGCAAGGTGATTGGATGAGAGCTGCAGGCAGCCCAGCTTGGCCAGAGATGCGGAACGCTTCATGAGGGAGGGGGAGGTTTGCTGGGCCACCCCCCCTTCATCCCCTTGCGCCTGCGCCCACTCCTGCCCCAGCTCCGCCTCCCCCCCCGCCTCACACAGGTATGTCCGCAACTCCCGCAAGGTCTCCCAGGTGTTCTGCAGCTCCGCCGCCATGCAGGGGGGGCCGTCTGTGTCCGTCTCAGTCTCCGTCACCCCCTCGAGCTGCAGCACCTCCTTGTAGGAGGGGCAGCTGAGTGCAGGGCTATGGCTCTCAGATGAGCAGCCAATCAGGGGTGAGGGATCAAAGTCCCCTGTGTACCGGTACATGGTCAGCAAAGGCTCATGGGTAAGCAGCTCCTCACTCGGCTCCTCCCCCATCAACCTGGCTTCTCCCTCTTCTTCCCCCTCCAATGCAGTTAAGGCTTCCACTACAGCACACCCAGTGCCAAGCTCAGGGGAAGTGCTCTCCAGCAGGGGGATTAGGGGGGGGCACAGGGCACTGTCAGGGGCGGGGTCACGGTTATGGTCAGGGGACAGCCGGCATATCAGGGGAGGGGTTAGGCCAGGTGATTCAGGCCACGATTCGGCATCTTCGTCCTCCTCGGGTCCTGATTGGTCAACGGTGGGGGCCACCTCACTGCCAGTGAGCATGTGACCGTTTTCCAGTTGCCACATGGCGGCACCATCGCTGCTTTCAACGGCTGGAGAGAAAACCTAAAGAGAAAATGTTTTTGTTACCTCTCTGAAAAACAAAAACAATTTCATCTGAAAAGCAGGATTTACTGCAGGGCCGGTGTAATACGACACAGACCTGGGCCTGACTTACTCTGCCTGTGACTGACCACTAGATGGCCTAACTGGACAAGAAAGGACAAGCTGAGAAACGGTGAAGAAGATTGTCCTGACAATCGGAATCTGTATTAATGAAATTCCTCCCATTACATCAGAGAGAGAAAAGCTGGAGGCCTTACAATCTAATATCGAGTTTCTCATTGTGTCAATAAAGTTTGCCGAATTCAAGAGATTAACTTCTGAATTTAAATTAAAAAAAAAAACATTCCATTTTCACAAAAACACTAAATACACGGATGTCATAAGACATCAGCCACAACAAGCTGCTTTTTGGTTCAGTTTGCAAAAATGCTTTTGAAATATTTAAAAGTATAGAGAGACGCTCCCTGGGTTACGATATTTCGACTTTGTGATGAGTATTCTGATTCCATTCTGTTTTTCACTTTGTGACACATTACATTATTCAATAAACTGAGAAATTCAACACTTTATTATAAAATAGGCTTTGTGTTAGTGATTTTGCACAGCTGTAGACTAATGTAAGTGTTCTAAGCATGTTTAAGGTAGGCTAGGCTGGACTATGTTTGTTAGGTTTGGTGTAATATATTAAAATACATTTCCACCTTACGATAAATTTGCATTACAATAGGTTTATCGAAATGTAACCCAATCATAACCCTGGGAGCAACACTATAGACCAGGGTTCTGTAAATCTGAACCTCAATTCCAAATCCAGGCCTTGTCTCAGTTCTCCCAGGTAGTTAGTGTAATAATTACTGATTCTGATTGGTCAGAGGCTTCACACCTGGCTCACAGGTAAATGAAGGCTGGAAAATCAGCAGGGCTCGGACCTCGAGGACCGTGATTTGAATAGCAGTGCTATAGACAATAAGGCTGTGGGTGACAGCTGACCAGCAGGAGGCACTGCATAAATTAAATTAATCGAGGCTATGCAGTAACACACCAATGCATGCAGCTTATTCCCAGATTTTGAGGTTACATCTATACATTAAAATATGACATATCTTTGCCTGAGTTACTGCTCCTAAAACAAGTTTACTAGACACCTGGATTTTAATTCCATTACCCTGTTAAGGGGTTAATTATGTCTGGGTACCACTGACATGGCACAGCCCCCAGTGGCAGTGGGCTTCAAGCCATAATCACTCAAAATTAGGTCATTTTAGTTGTGTTAATGTTTGAATGTGGAGAATGTGTGGTTACTTTAATGGTCTGGAATCAGCTTACAGGTTGACTCATCGCGATAGATGGTAAAATCCCCCTCACCTTGTCCTCGTCCTGCAACACAGCAGAGACAAGTATGACAGCTGGTTCCTCGGGGTGTAGCAGCTGTGGCTGGGGAACATGGTCACTGAGGTGAGGCGTCTGAGGAGGTGCCTGCTCCGAAAAGGAGCGTACTGAAGAGCCCTGAGAAAGGCCCACAAATTTCTTGCGGGCACTGAAGAAGTCGATGCTGTCAGTCCCTGAGGGAGAAGTGGGGTCTTGCGGGGGGAGCTTTTTGGCAGCAGGGGCTGGGATCCCACCCTGATCATTCTCTTCGGGGTTATTTTCAGTACCCAGCAGGGATCTGTTTGCAATAGAGGCCCCTGGAGTGTCTCCTTCAGGCACTTGGGCAGCACATCCTACACTCTGACACAGGGACTCGGACACACCCGGCTCATAGCTAGATGTGCATTTTTGCTCAGGCACTGCAGTAGGCAGCTCAGATGCATCCTCACTCACTGCTTGCAACTCGGGTACATCCAGGGGTGCTGCTGTGTTGGGGGACAGGAGATGCAGGGCCGGGGGCGGGTGGGGACGCCCAACAAATACCGACTTGGCTACGTTCACTGCTGCACGGTCCAGCGCTTCATCGGGCACCACCGTGGCCGCCTGCGGCTGGGGCAGTGACGAGAGCGGGCAGTCAAGCGCTGGCGGTTCAGCCCTGTGTGCAGTACCCGGGGCGGCCAGGGCGTCCATGGTATCTAAGAAGCGTTGCAGCGAGGGGGGGCCATTGCTGGGGTGGTTATGTGGGTCCGAGCGGCCGAGCGTGTGGGGGATCTTGCAGGGGGACTCCCGGCGCTCAGAGAGGTCGCTGTCCGAGTGTGAACGCCACAGCTTATTGTGTCTCTGCTTGCTGGCAGAGGTTGGGAAGAAGGAAGAGGAGATATAACAGATGCATACAACCAAGGAGTCCAAATGACTCCTAAAAGTGGGTGGGGTTAGTGGCAGGTGGGGCTAGTGGTGGCCGGGGCTCACCTGGCCAGTAGGATACCCTGGTACTCCTCCAGCTGCCGCATAAAGGAGGGGTTGGGCTTGGCCACGGATCGGCGCTCCTTGACGTGGCGGAAGGCGCGCTCCAGGTCCCAGCCGTACTCCTTCATGGCGTAGGCGATCACCGTGGAGGCCGAGCGGCTGACGCCCATCTTACAGTGCACCAGGCACTTGGCTCCTGCTTTCCTGGAAGCAAGACCAAAGAGATGATGCGTAGAACTAGAGCCCAACGCACACAGAGACAGGCAAAGCCTTGAACATGGGTGCGATGTCATTAAGCTGCACCTACACAGCAGACACACACACACACACACACACACACACACACACACACACGTGTCCAAACTTACTTGGCTTTGGAGATGAACTTGTAGGTATCGTTCCAGTAGGCTAAGAGGTCAGTGGCCTCCTCGTCGTACACACGGATGTTGTGGTACTCAAACAGGCCGGGGAAGAAGTTGTCGATCTCACGTGTCACGTTCAAGATGAACTGCACCCTGTGAGCCAGGCAGATGGGTTAGCACTGAATCAGCCAGAGGGAGCAGAAATTGTAGAAGAATCGCAACCGGACCCAAAGCGAAAGTTACTGTTTGGGTGAAAGCTCAACATGCAGGCACAACAAAGGCTCATCTCAGGGGGGCTGGGGGGGGGGGGGGGAGTTGGGGGTCTGAAGCCTCTTACCCGCTGCTCTGAAGCTCCTCCAAGTTCGATGCATTCCACTCTGAGCCCTAGGAGAAAGCAGGACAGACAAACCCATATCTCAGCATCTCGAACCCAAGTCGCACATATTCCTCATTGGATACCAGTCAAGCAAACCAAAAAATACAGCCCAGGAGGGGGCAAGCCAGGTCCAGCACTGACCAGGAAGACATGCTCGAAGATCTCCGTGGGGCTGTCCATCTGGCCCAGGATGACGATCATCTCGTTGTCAATGAACTCTTTAAACTCCCGTAGGTTACACACCATCTGCATCTCCAACTCCGTTCGGATCTGGGTGTTAAAACATTCAATTAATCAGTTAATAACCAATCTTAGCCCTATTAAACTAAGACAGTTAAAATGTTTTCTGCCACACACTTTATAACAGGCTTTTAACCACACTGGAACAGCAGGTTTTAACCCAATACAAACGTAATGTGAGATGCATGGAAGGACAGGATGGGGGAGCGGAGGGGGGACACCCACCTCTTTGGAGGTGATGTTCTCCAGGTCTTTCTGCATCATGATCTCTCTGAGTCGTGTCTTGATCAGCCTCTCCGTCCGCTCACGCTCTGTTGGCCTGTAGGGGGCAGTGCAGACAAACCATTACAACATATAAACAATGGATAAGGCAAAAAAAAAAAAAAACTCAAAAGGGCTGAGATCTGGTTCTCACCCAGCTGCTGGTGCCACTGGTTCTGATCTGTTGCTGCCCTAGGTCTACCAATCTTTCTAAGACTGACTGGAACTGAAATTATCTGCGCCACTCTACTGCAGGTGACCTTTGACCTCTCCATCAGACACCTATGAGGTCAGCAATGGGAGGCTGGGGAAACACTCACACGTCATTGAAGAGCACAGGCGAGTCAGCACGGTGCGACTGCAGATCCTGCATGGCGTTCCACTCGTTGATGCAGGCCTGGTCTGAAGCCACGCGGCTCTGGTAGTAGCTGACCCAGGTGAGGAACAGGCTGCCCGGGTAGTAGTTGTGGCACCGGGCCACCTCACAGGCCTTGTGGAGGGACTGCAGGGCGGACCTGGGGGAAAGGGAATGGAAACACTGCTGAGGGTTGGGGGCGGAGTAATTGCTATGGCCCATAAAAGGCAGAGAATGATGGAAGAGGAGAAGATATCTGGCTCGGGGTAGACAAGCAACAGTCGGACCGTGGAGCTCACTCACCACATGGCCTGCACAGATACAGGTTTGAAGACATGTACCCTGCTGACTGTAGACACACTGAAGCCTCTGTGGACAGACAGGAGGAGGGAGACACGACCAGGTCAGAGAGCACAGAGATACCACAGCATAGATGTGGAGGGGGCGGGGCTTACCCATCGCCATCCAGGTGGATGAGAGTATCACTCCAGAGGGGCAACACCAGACCTACAGTACATGTGCTGCCAGAGAGATAAACAGAGTCACTCAGTGTTATGCAGAGTCACGCCGCACTAGAGAAAGCAAAGCATCCCCATAGGTAACACCTACCTGTCAGAAGAGCTGAAATCTATACCGAGCACCGTGCTCTCCTCCGTATCCTGGCGGCCGTTGGTGGTCACCACCACCATGTAACGCGTGCACTGGGTTCGGGCGCTCTCCAGACGCACCGCCTTGGGGGGGAATTAGTATGAACAAGAATAGCCTTGAAGACAACATGGGCTGGGAGAGGGCAAATGACTTACCAAACGGATGGTGTCCTCTGGACGGAGCAGCATGAACATGGTCTGCAGGTGCTGCTGGAGGTCACCTGGAGGGCGGAGAAAGGGGCGGAGCATGAGACATTGACACACCCACCAAATCACAGTGGGAGGAGTTTGAGACGGACACCCCCCCCCAGGAGATCAGGGTGGGTGAAGCCTAGTGGTACAGGTGTCCACCTACCTGCATGCTTGCTGCGTTGCTGGCCAGAGTGGGGGGTGGAGGAAGGGGAGGGGCCATTCCCACGGGGCAGGAAGAGGGCAGCACCCTTCACAGTCAGGAAGCTCTCACTGATTCTGCAGTGGGGAAAAGTGTAAATGTCAGTGTAAAGGTGCTGGGAGGTTGGCGAGTAATGTGGGGGTGGACAAGGCGATACTGAGGCACAATACTGCCCCAATACTGCCTGTAGCACAAGGGCCGCCCTAAATTCAGCCCTGAGGTTGAGTATGCTTGCACCATCAGTAAGGAAAGACCGCAGTACAATTACAGCTGAACCAACCACCCCCCCTTGCTAACTCCAGTCACTCATACCCCTCCCCCCACAATCCACTGATGACCTTCACAAGGAGGGGTGGAAAAATCCCCCCCCCACCCCACTCAACAGCCACAATTTCAATTTCAATCAAAAACATACAAAGCCGCGACATCCCTAGCTGATATCCAAGATCAGAATCCTAGCCTGATCTATTTCATTTGTCGCATCTGCCTAATTTACGTCTCTTGTGCAGATTGCAAGGTTCCGTGACATGCTACTGGAAGCCTGAGGCACATGGCTTGGAACTACAAGCTGTCAAAATGTCGGCCATGTCGAAATTCCTTTGAATCAAAGTTGTCCGGCAGCTACCAGCAATGTGTACAATGGCATCCTTTTGAGAGGAGGTAGCAAGAGCGTCATTTGATACAACAAATCTAATCAGGCACTTGCAGAAACATCATAAGAACCCGGCAAAATGGAATGGCTTAGATGCACCGACACCTACCGTATCTGTATGTATATTTAAATATTTATTAAATGATCGGACCGGAACTCCGAATCGGCAGTTAGAAATATCAAATGGATTAGGGTACCAAAAAAGTGGATTGGGACCCCCCCACTATAAAAGTGACAACCACATGCTAACAGGGTACATTCCTACAGGCAAAGACGCAACAACTCTGACCCCCACCGGAGATATCTAGAAATAAGGTAGCTGGTCACACAGCTGGCAGAAAGTTAACGCCCCCCTGCCGCCCCCCCGCGACACACTAAAGCGCATGCCCTGGCCCTCACCCTATCCATATTTGTCATGTTTCTGCAGGGTGGGGGTAAATATATACATACAAATAAATAAATATAGTAACAGGTTGTCTAGAAGGTCTTCTGAGTGCAACCAAGAAAGACCAGACACCCCCCACAACCCCCTGTGACAGTGACACAATTTTAACTTTTAGCACCATTAATATACAAACTGAACTATATTAATTTACCCCCGTGCCTCTCAGTTTAGCCCCATAGCTTTATTAACACGATTATTCAAGTTATCAGCGTAATTCAAGCTCAAACACTAGCACAAATTTAAGACACAGCGACAGAGAAGACAGATTAATTAAAAAAAAAAAAAAAAGAGTTGGAGGAGGCGGAAACTCAGGAAGGAGAGAAAAAAAATTCTTAAAACTGGCTGTTTCTAATATGGTAGGGATCTAAAGCCTGGCCCCCTGGCTTTCATTGGCTGGGAGGGAATTCCAGCTGGCCAATCGGAGTGGCCGTGGCCATTCTAGAACAGAAAGGGGAAATTCCCAGACAGTCCAGGGAGGGGGGGACGTCACTTCACTAAACCACAAGACAGCCTGGCACCCAAAGAAGTAGGGAAACATCACTCAGATGTCTGGAGATTGGGGGGGGTTAATTAATTACTGAAACATCTTTACAAAAAGTTACTTACCATCATCTCTTTAGGTTTGTTTATCTTACATTTAAGAGCAGAAAACATGAGTTAACTGCACTCATGTGTCTGAATGCAATGTGTTCAACAATATTTAACAATTTAGCACACCGGCCTTTGCCGCTTCCCGATGACACCACAGAGCAGGAGCACAGTCACGGATTCGCCAGGTGCTGATGCACAGGCGGGATCTGGGCAAGCCCAGAGCAGGGGTTCCGCTGCAGGGACTCATGTTGGCGAAACCACCCTGCCTAGTAATGCAAATCCCGAGCTAAAGCAAATGACGTGACCACCACGGTGACTCGGTCAGCGCTAACAGTCCATCCGGCGAATTCGGACACAGGAGTCACTCTCGTGAAATCGACTTCCTGCGCATGAGCGATGCCAATATACGTATACAAACATACGGCATACACAGCCCCACCCCCCATGTGTGTTCAGTGATATTGCTGTAAGTTTATTCATGGTTACTCCCCAGAACAAAGAAAGTGGACTTTGGACCTCCCTACCCAGAATCCTCTGCATGCACTGAACATGGGCCTGGTCAGCTGTAAACACAGGTGCAGCCCGGCTGCCATTTCCTGGTCATGCCCCCCCAAGTCATGTGATAACATTATTTAATCACGCGCGGGCCAAGATGAGAAACACAACATCAGCTGATAACACACCAGACTGCAACGGCGAGCCCTCAATCAAAACACACTTTGCTTTCTACAAAATATGACAGTACACTCAGGTGACCTAAATGAAACCCTGATTTCAAACCTTATTTAAAGGCCCCACATCTACAAGGCCTGCATACTAAGCTAATGCCACACACCTGTATGACACGGAAAAACATTCTGCTCATTGATTTTTTACTCATTTATCTGATGATTTTATCCAATGCAACTTTTAGTGGAGGGAAGGGTTGCAATATGTGTATTCTCTGTGGGAGTTGAACCCATGACCTTTGAAAATGGGCCACCAAGCTCATGGACCAGAGGACCAGGGGTTAGTTATTATCCTACACCCTAACCTGCAAACTGTCCCACTCGCTAAAACCTAACACACCACTAATGACATTTTCATTACCACCATTTAAGGTTTTTAGAGGAGAGCTGACCTGTTGGCTAAGGACTCCCAACCAGAAGACTGTCAGTTCCAAACCCATAAGGACAGCCAGATACAGGAAACGGGAGAAAGACCAAGAAATTAAGCCAAGCAAATATGGAGAAGCCTGCTGGTCTATTTTAGGGTGACACTCATGTCCATAGAGGGGCTGGGCTCTGTGGCTTTTAGGGGATTAACAGCACCCCTAATGTGTTTGGAAATTGGTGCAAATCAGCATATTAAATCCCACAGGCATAATTTACAAGCCAAGTGATCTACACAGGAAAATTACGTTACGTGACCTGAGCCGCCTGACAGCTGAAACCTTAGCTATAGAGCACTAGTTTTTGCCCGGAGGAGCCGGTCACTTCATTTTTCATTTTATTTGGCTTCTTCGGGGGAAGTACTGCAGGAAATGTTAAAGAAAGCGGAACGTTCTATCCTGCATACGTCCTGTACCACCATGATTTCTGGGCCGGTATAATAAACACGACGGAATGTTTTCAACACGTTGCCGCTGTGTCACGGATACCCCCGCCCCCCAGTCCCGACTCGGAGAAACCACCGGCCCAGACAATCACGAGTACCCAAGCATGTCCAGACCTGCCGGGGGTTTCGATCAAACCTGCAGGTGGCCCGTCACAGGTCGGCGAGTACCCGCCTTACCCCAACCTGACAGCCCCGCTGCACCTGTCAACGAGCTGCTGTGCGCAAAAAAAAAAAAAACGTCAGTGAAACCTGCACGTTTACGCGCATTATCACTGCCGCGAGCGAGAGCCCGATCGGACCGCCGGCTCACACTTACAGCGGGCTGATGTTGCTCTGGACGGCCATGGCGTTTTCGGCGAAGTACGGCGTCATCTTGGCACCGCAGCAAGCGCAGAAGCGACCAGCTTCCGAGCCGGCGGCCACGACCAGGCTGCCTAGGGTCATCGGGGTGGATCTGAGAGACACCTAACCTAACCTCCAAGCCCAACAAAGAGCTCCGTCTTCGCTCAGTACCGAAAGTAACCGGGCGTGATACCGAGAGTGACTTTTAAACGCCGCGCGTCTCTATAAAAACTTCTTCGCCCGTAGTCAGTCTCTGTCCAGGTTTGATCGAACTCCATTCCAATGTAAAGTTTCCATATCAGGGGGGAAAAAACAGTCACGGAGTCACTGTAACAGCGAATAGTTCACAATAGTTCAGCAGAAAAAAACAAAAGAGAGAAATCTCCGCATAGACGAAAAACTAAAGTTTTAAAACGCAGCCAAATAACACAGTAAATAGTGTATCAATGACCCGCACAATACCTATTTTTAAGTAAAGGCTGCGCGGCGTGTCGCAGCCGCACCGGGCTACCGCACACACTGAAACCTGGAGCGCCTCCGACTTCCCGGGACTTTAACTGCGGGGAGGGGAGGCGGAGGAGGAGACAGACACGTGTCTGGGCGGAAGGTGTAGGGCCACGACGCGCGGCTATACCGCTGCAGAAGCAACAACAGATTCTTCGGTTTTTACTTTTTCGTGCAGTATCAAACACGTGCGAACTCGATCCGGACACGGACACGGACACACACACACACACACACACACACAATCGGCGACCTTCCGTTGAACCATCTATCGACATACCCCAAGAAAAAATCATTCTTTGGGGATCCATAGTCTGTATCTGATGAACGTAATCGTTGGTGAGCTTTTTGTTTCAGCTGATATACATGTTTTCTAACAACAATTTCTTAAAATTACAATAATTTTGCCCAGCACTTAATGTTTGTCACTGGACCACAAACAATTCTGGCATGTTCGACCATTCTAGCAATAATGTGAGTTCTGATTCTGATTTATATAATAACTTCATAAACAATTATGTATTCTGAATTTTAATCATCTGCACTGCAGTATCAGGTGAACCAGATCATTTTTTAATTAAAGCGTTCAAGTCGCCACCAACAATTTTGTATTTGGATGCAACATTACTAGACAACATATAGATCATTTCACGACAGCCCATCGAACCTCCTTAAGATGCAGATTAAGCTAAAAATCACCATACACTCCATAGTCTCCTGCTGGAAGGTTCTCCACACCAACAGAGGAACTAGGTCTGTCCTACCAAGGAAGTGCTACTGCGCAGAACCCTACTGACGCACCTTTCACATCATTTGGTGGGTTTGATAGTATCAGGCAGCTTGAATTTCCTTTGAAATGGAGAATAAGGGTCTGAACACAGTTTGCAAACAGCTCATAGGTGGGAATGGTGTGTACCCTGTGATGGGTTGGCACCCTGTCTTGAGTCATTTCCTGCTTTGCACCAGTAGCTTTTGGGATAAGCTCTGGACCCCCGTGACCCTGCGTAGGACAAGCAGGTATAGAACATAGATGGATGGTCTATGTACAAAGGTCAATGTCCCTCTGAAGACTAAAGGCATCTCTTGAGGTGCCCATTTTCCACAGGCGTCCTGTAAACAGGCAGAGACACGTGGCTGGTGATCTGCCGGGGCTGAGCTTCTTATCAGGGCTGAAAGATGATCCTCTGTTTGGGATGTTACCTTGGGGGGGCTGGGGGGGTCTGGGTGCCAGTGTCACCAGCAGCAGCAACAGCACAGCCGTAGGGATGAGCTCTAGTCACACGACAGATTGCTCAAGACTGTTGACACTCTGAGATGACCCCCCCCCCCCCCCACACACACACACACACACACACACACAGCTCCATGTGCCCTGCTCCATCCCTCAAAAGGAAGGTAACTTCTGGTTCCAAAGCATAGACATCAAGCAAGCAAAACAAGCCACCAGGAGGTTGTGGGTCAAAGCCCTACTCTAATTAATGCTGCAGTTATTTTATTCAGCAGGCTGACGGAAAAACTGCTTTAAATCAGGCCCCAGAAGAAGCATGAAAACAGTGGTGCCAAATATGTGTTGGGTTGAAGTGTTACAAACAATCGCATGCTGCTTTGCATAGCAGTACGTACACAGAGTTCCGACCAGTGGCACCGTTGTCATAGTATATTGTGCTATATTTAGTTCCTGTTTTGCAATGTCTTTTTTTTTTTGAGGAAGCAAAAAGGGTCACTGTAAATAGCCACTCTCCCTCAGTTACCCCCACCTGTGCGCGAGGTTACAAAATGCGACAACTGGCAATAAACCTTGCGACAAATGAAACTAAACCTCCACTGAGTGGTGACACCCAGCCAATGAAAACAAGCAAACAGGGTTAGCCAGTGAATATACAGGGGCGGGGGGCTAATAGGTGAGGACTTTGCATCCTATAGGTTGTACATCTCTTAAGGCACTTGGAGAGACAGCGGCAGAGATTCTAGGAGAAACACACGGTAACAGTGAATCCATCCCCTGGAGTCACACATCACCAGCGGCTTGGCGCTCCTGTACAGACCAAATGGACGCAGCTGCCTCATGTGGTGGGGGAGGGGGAACAGACCCCCCCCCCCCCAAAAAAAAAACACAAAAAAAAAACAAAACAAACAATGAACTTCCTCAAACACGGTCCTGGGTCAAGGAAAAGTCAAAGTCAAATTCAGCAGGGGTGATAAAATGGGAACAAGGAAGTCTGTTATAATAAAAACTTAATCTATCCAGTTTCTATAGCACTTGCCACCAGTATTAGCAATTTTATATACAAACTGATTGTCAAGAATATTAGCGGTTACCTAACACAGCTGAGTCATTTAATGTTGCTAGTATACATGGTAAACTACTGTTACTCCTGGAACAAGATTAGTAGCGTGTGAAGCAACACGGATACAAGTGAACAAATAACAACAGCAACAACAACAACGTCAAACACCACCCCTGCCCCAAACAACCCACCCCAGACACGGTGGAATGGGGGTATGCAAACAAGGCTGCTTCTGACAGGATGTCATCACTGTCGTATCAGCCAATCACACAAGCACATCCAGGTTTAACAAAACAAAAAAAACAAAAACAATTAACGCCACACAGGAAGGTCATGGCCACTGACTCACACACCCAGGGGCGGCGCACACACACACACACACCTTTGTCTGGTCAATGATTAAGCTCATAAGCAAACAAATTTTCACTATCATCCACGTGTTAGGGCAAGTAAAAACATCTGACTTGACTTTCTCAATAAGCCACAAGACCCAAAAATGCAGGCCTTTTCCACACCAGAGGACTCCCGATGGCCTGCAGGTCAGTGTGACCTTTGACCTTTTTGAAGGACAGCACAGAAGGTAACAGATGTAGCCGGCACGCTTTTCCTGGAAGACTGTGTGTAATACCAGTTTATACCTTTGAGGGTACAATAACTTACTCATAAATTAATCACTAGGGCTGTACCCTCAAGGGTCTGCCAATTGTACCCTAACTGTAGGTAAATGTACCTTTTAGTCTAATTTAAAGCACAGAAATGGACACTGCGGAACATGTCAAAGGTACAAACAACATTAATGTACCCCCAATGGTACAAAAATGTACCTTATAAAAAACAGAAAAGGAGTCCAAGGAACATTTACCTATAGCTAAGGGTACATTTGGCAGAAATATAAGCAAAGGAACTCTTTTTTTCCTAACAGTATGCAGCAAAAGCATCCATGACAAAAATGAAGTGTTTTATATCATTAATCATGAAATCAGAAGAAAAAAATTAGTAATGAACTACAAGTGAGCAGCACCTGACTGCGGAGAACACGAGCTGACAGGTTATACCACTGTTGTTCGGGAAGTCTGCTGCGCAGGCACAGGGTCAACTATTGCAGCCACACCTGCGCAGAATGCACCAGCCAATCACAGCAGTAGAGGCAAAAGTGGGTGTGGCAGCCTCATTAATAGCGGCGCAGGTCGGCGCAGGTGGGCGCAGGGGGGGAGGGGGGCGGTAACTGTCATCCCGGTCGCCTGACTCACCTCCTCTGCTGGCAGCGCTGATCGTCTTCTCCGCTGCCGGTCTCCTGTGGACAGAAGCACAACGTCCGTCAATCACCAAGCCGCTCTATGGGAGCCACCCGGTTTAGCGTCGACGTCGGGAAACGCCAGCCCCGTCATAGATACTCCCACGCTCCGCCGACGAGGAAGAAAGTCTGGGCTTTCCTGTCAGTCACTCTCAAAAGGTGTGCCAACACGTACCAGGAAAACAGGGACGAAAACTCTTACGAAATTACAAAACAGGGATGACTACATGTCTGGGAGTTGGTCTTGTCTTGTTCTATTGTTAAAAGCATTCGTTAACCAGGCAGCCTCTGTGGAACCTCAACTCTGCCCCTGAAACGGCCATCAGACTAAATTAAGGGTGTTTCCACCAAGTACCAAAACTCCATAGGTAATTCAGCCTTGCAGTGGTACCAGCCCGAAAGTCCTATTGTGCTGGAACATACATACCTGTCAAGTTTTGGATTTGAAAATAAGGGAAATTTTCCGGCACCCGCCGTGAGCCACCCCACCACCCCAACCAAGCTCCAGTATCCCTTACATTTTAAGACAGGTGTACAAGAAATCTAAAATAACCACTTGTCATTTACATTTTATTTTCATTACACATTTTCTTTTAATTTCTCATGTTCACTCATGTGGCTCTCTGGCATTCACTAATGACTTATTATACAGATTTGTTGCAGACTTTATATCCTTGTTGAAGTCGTCACAGAAGGTGAAAGTAACGTTGTTTTTGGCACACAGCACTGCCATTTTAACCTCCGCATTTATTACCTGGTTAATGTTGTAAATGACCTGCAGACTACTGCAGGTGGCAGTTCTCGCGAGGCTACTGACAGTTCAGTTTGGAGAGGCAGAGGATTAAAAAAAAAAGATATTATAATACGGGAGATTTACGGGAAAATACTAATACGTGAGGACGGCGGGAAAGAGGGGTAAAATACGGTAGTTTCCCGGCCAAAACGGGAGACTTGACAGCTATGAACATATGATTTGAAAACTTGTATAAATGTACCATAAGCTAATTTAACTTATTTAGGTTAATTGTGCATATTTATTTAAAAGTATGTTTCACGTCAGAATGTAAAGCATTCAAACAGGCTTGGTGAAAACGTCGCTCAAAGACCGTTGCAGTATACAAACCGACCACAAGGGGGTGCGAGAGTCACAATAAGGAAGTCCAGGAGAGTGACGAAAGAGGCTCAGGGTGCACAAGGGAAAACAGGCAGTAGGAGGCACCACAGAAAAAGTTAAATTGCTAGCAAACATACCTACCTGGACATAAGGGGCAAATAGACCACAGGGAAACACCGGAAGGCCAGACATTCAGATGGACAACCAGGACCAATGGGGGAGTGAGCACCGCACATGCTCAGATATCACCCCCCAACCACCACACCCATGGACATCAACGTCATCTCGACAGCATACAGGGTAAAATATCCAGGGTGAGGATGCTCTCTCAGAATACACCCGGCCCCTGTGC